AAAGGCTCAGCGTGCGTCAAAACAGTCTTCACAACAAGATGCAAGGAAAACAAATCAGCATAAGCACAGAATTATGTAGAATTTTTTCCCCACTACTGACACAGAAAGCAACAGATGATGCTGTTCTGACATTGTGCATAAGTTGCCAAAGCTACATGTCAAACAGTGAAGAATCTAATAACAATCAATAATTCTTTGTTCATGCCTGTACAAGCAACTGTGACTACACAATTTCCCTTTCAAATTTTCAAGACTCAAATATCCAGACTTCTCTTTAGATTTTTAAGATAATATCTGGCACACAAGTACAAAAATAGTTAGATGTTTGTTATGCAACATTTTAAAATGTTTGACTATGTCTGTTGTTATGTTGCCAACTAATTGTCAGCAGACTGTAGCTCTAGGTGCTGCAGCTCATCCAAATCAATTAACACCAACCTCAGACAATTAAAGTGCAGAACATATTTTCCAAGCTGCAAGGAAGAGGAATAAAGCTCAAACATGACCAGTGCCAACCACATTTGTTATTTTCCTTTAAAGATGGAGTATGAAATGTTAACCTCATATATTTTTTGTTATACGTCTATAGCTCCTTATAGTCAGCTAGCTGTGCATTCTGTGTGTAACTATCAAGGCTTCATCTCAGCACCCCAAGGCAAATATTTTTCACTCACCACCCAGGCAAGCAGTAGCAACCGCTTACCGTGGTCCCCTTGACAAATGCCTACACCTGTAGCTTGTTTCACTTTTTCATTCAGTCCCTCCCCAATTGCCTGGTGCTCATGAGGGAAGTCATGGGGCGACTGCGATCGGCAAGATGAGCATATGATACAGTCAGTGACTTGCAATGGGACAGGCTCTTCCTACAGTGAAGTACACAGTCAGGGTCCACCTCCTATCCTAGACACCATTGTAGCCCTCTGGACGGCCATGTTCCCAGGGTCCTCAATATGATGGCAAACAGGCCAGAATGTCCAGAGGGGGCCCACAAAAAGAGGAGTGGAACACCTCACGAATTACAGTGTGGCGATTGAGAGGAGGAGACTGAGTGAGTTGGGCCTCCCTGAAGTGGCAATCAACACCATCCAGAATGCTCATGTCCCAAGACATGGCTAAGAAGGGCCATGATGCATCCATCTTGGGGGTGTTTGCTGTCACAGCTGGATATGATTGTTGGGGTCAGTTCACAGCCAGAAGTCACCCCTAGTAAAGCAATTCCTGCGAGGGTTTTGGAGGGGACGGCCGGTCATGGGGTGACTGGTTTCCTAGCGGGACCTGTAGACAATGCTGGATGAGATGGCTGGCCGAGCTTTTGAGCTTCTACAACAGGCAAGCCTGGAATTGGGGTCAGTTGAGGTGGTCAACGTAGCTGATGGTGTATTATAAAGAGAGCAGTCAGGAGCACACTGTCACCACAGTTACTGGCGCACTGGATATGCAATGGTAACCACAGAAGATATGAGGCCAAGGATGTACCTCCCAGTGGGCCTCAGGGTAAACTCTACCAAGGGTGTTGCTGCCCTGCTTAGGGGAGCTTTGGTGAAAGACATCTGCTTGGCAGCACCTTGGTCATCCACCATTGTCAGGTCATTATATGATGCCTGGTCTGGTTTCTCATTCATTGGTTGGGGCACCATACGAAGTCCATCAGACCGTGGACGCGTTGTAGCTGCAGACATGGACAGGCCTTGGATTTCTCATTTTGGTTTACTGTTCTTTTTACCCAGTCAGCTTTGGCATGGGGGTGGAGCAGCTGGGAGTACATTTATTATTAAGGGCTTTCAAAACACTAATGCCACTGATTGGGTGGTGAGTGAGAAAAATCTGCCTCAGGGTTAATGAGTTAACCAATTGCTACAGCCCAATGTAGCCACGTCCTTATTTTTCATTACTTAATACAAGGGGACTCATAAAAATTCCCCCCGGTGCAGTTGTCTTTTACGAGGAAATTAGCCATCAAAACCAAAACCGTCTATGACACCAGGCAGCAAACATGGTAATGTCTTCTGTAGTGTTGGGCTTTTGGGGCATGACAGATTAGTTTTGGAGCAAAGAATGTATAAAGCCAATGTTTTGGAGCCTGCTTCAAGTGGCCATCTGAGAAACTGACATTTTTAGCACTTTTGTGTTGGTTTCATTTTTCAGCCCCAAAGGACGCGACTAGGTTTTAAGGTATTTGGAACAGAGCTGTTTTGCATGTGTCAGTGTCGAAGTGTGCATTCAGTCACTCATCAGACTTTTTTCCCTTTGTTTTGACGACATCAAGCTCACTATGAGCCACGGTCTCTCTTTCAGTGGTAAACATTTTGGCTTCACGGGCTGCCTGCTCTGCTCTGTATGATTCATTTATTTTTAGAAAATCTGAATTTTAAGAAAACAGAATGAAAGCAATATTCTGGAAACACAAATATTATTCCATACACTTTTCTTTTTTTCCATTCTCATCCAGACCTTGAAATTCAATACTTTTCCATACTGTGTAGGAACCCTGTGTAACACACAACATTGAGAACAAAAAAGGTATCAGATCCACACATCCAAATTGCTCAGTGTTCTTCCACAACATGCAGCAAGGCGACGTACAAACGCTATCCTCAGGGGTATGCCTTGAGTGCTGACGGTGACCTCCAAAATAGTACCATGGTGTTCTTTTGAATCCTGATACATGCACTGAATGAGAGCTTATCATGTAACATTGCCAAACTTGGGATGAGAACAGTCTCTCAGAAGATTCCTCACAACAATACACAAATCTGAAAAGACTTTAACTCCTAGAGATCCTACCTACACTTATGATCAAATATGTGTTAAGGAGTTCAGGGTGAACAATTTAGTGCAGTTCTTCAGCTTGATAGTCTGCTCATTTCTCATTTGTACTCACTCTACAGTAGAGCACAGCCTTCAAAAAAAGAGAACAAATGTTTCACTTGCAAGTCGGGCTTCTCTGTCTGATGTACAAGGTCATCATAGATTCCAATATTGAAACGGATACTAGGGATTCTTACAAAAACAAGTATTTCTCCAAATTTGATGGTTAAGTAAAATCAGCCTTCTTTGCATGTGTGCAAGTCCATATAAGGAAATGATGTTGGATGGGCTTTTGGCCAATAAATACCAAGAAATTATAGTAGAGAAATGCTGAATGTATGTTTGGAGTGATTTGAAAACTGTCAGCATTACATAGATGGCACTGACAAGGTTTTTCCAACATTAAAATGTTTTGGTCATGATACATCTAGCATATAATTTTCTAGTAACTAAACTGACATGTTCGTTTATCTTATAGGTTGCTTTGTCAGCTGTGGTGACCAGGAAAAAAAAAACGTGGGTCTTCAGCACACAGCCCCTAATGACAAGGTCCTCAGCAGGAAATGCTGCCAAAACAGCTCCCACAACATCATCAAGTCATATGCAATTAAACATGGTCTTCATCATCATTACAGTATGGGTATTCTGCTCTGTACCCAACAGTCGTATTGTCTCACTAACTTTAAACAGTTATCCCCTGATTCAGTAGTGTTTAAAATCAGCTCTGCAGAGCTCAGGTAAGCCCACCACCAAGGTCATGTGATTCAATATTCAGTCCAACTCCAACATATATAAACAGTACCAGCCAATGTATCAGTATGAGAAGTTCTCACTCCCTAAAAACCCTATCTACCCCCAACAATGTTGCATTAGCTGGGCTCTGTTTTCAGCATTTCAAGCTAAGTCTTGTTTAGTCTAACACAGTCATTATATAGATAACCACATTCTATTTTCCATAACACTGAAATGTTAAACCCAACCCAGCCTACTTTACCTGTTTAAAGTATTCTACAGTCAGCACATATTAGACTGGCCTAAACCTGTCTCTTCTTGTCTGTCCTGTAGCAGGTCAGCAGAGGTGTGAAGTTTGGGTATTTCTTGCTGCAAATGTGGAAGAATTCAGCTCATCCAATGCTACTTTGTGGTGCAGAGTGTGGCAGCAGCTCAAAATTAACTGAGAACAAGAATAGATGTCCCAAGACACTGCTTAGAAAACATTTCACAGTCCAAACTGTATGAGAATGTGATAAAAATTTTGTTAGCTCACAAAACATGCCACACAGAAATGAATAGAAACAAAGCAACCCAAACCAGTTTCTGACAAATATACAATGAGGAGGGTAAGGGCTATAAGGTGCTATACATGCAGCAACTCTGCAGCTGTTTGAACCTTTTATCAACATTTTTATTCCTGCAGCTGTGCATCTGGGGGAAGACCTGTTCGAAACATTTAGCACTGTTCCGTGCATGTTGGGACAACTCTGAGAAACAGATTTGCGGTGTGCCTCTTTGAGTACAATGTGTGGTCTGCGTGTCTGTGTGTGACTGTGACTAATGCGGAAATGTACAATACAGTATTCCACTTTTCAGTTTGATTTGTGCTTGTGGTGTACTTCAGAGCAATTACAAGATGTAGTAACAGTATGTGTGTGTTTGTGATAATAAATCAGAGTTCAAATCAGTTCCTCTGCAACATTAATATGACAGAATATAAGCACAATACTCAGCCGTGCAGCAGCGCTCATTAGCAAGACCAAACAAACAGGACCCTGCCTCTGGCCCGCACAAAGACCACTTTTGTGCAGCCCCTTGCCACAAGAGTGGCAGCAAACACAGAGTTCAAGCCAACATAAACAAACGGTTAAAAAAGAGCTGTGAGTGGAGCAGAATAAGAAGGATAATAAAAAGGATGCTTTAACTGAATGTTCACATTATTTAAGCAAACCAACTTGACTGCATACAGGCCTAGTTAATGAAATGGGAAGTACAAAAGACTGACAGCATAAACATACAACAAAAACTGTTATAGATTGCCCAAGAGGAAACAAGTGTTGCACTCCACAAAACTGCCATTTTGAAATAACTTGAATACAGGAAAAATGAATAAAATCTAAAACCTAAAATATGGGATTTAAACAAGTTTTGAAAACCAAACTGAAATGCTGGGAAAGTAAAAAGAATTTGGAGCCTACCTCAAGGTCATCCAGTGATCGTGCAAGGCTGAGACGTTTAGCAGAGCGAGGTTTGGAGGAGCGGACAACACCCCAAAACCTGGATCCCTATCAGAGAAAAAAAGATGGATTACTAAAGACATGAGGACCGATAGTGACAATGTCATTATCATCTAGTGGAATTTCTCAGAAAGCAAAGTTGAATTATTACTCACATTGACACATTCATAGATGATGAGTCACTCATGCAGTAAAGGGGAAATGAAAATGTGACAGTATAGTCACAGTGAAAAATGACTATGAGGTGAATACTGGAAACAGGTGGTCTATAAATCTCAAATTTTCTACTAGATTTGACTGATTTCTGAGGCAAAATCTGTCAAGAACTCCTATAAAAGATGAGATAGGTCCACCATGTTTTTTTATCTGTCTGTGTCAAACATATAAAAGACACTGTGTTTTACCAAGCCACCATTTGGAGAGGTTATGTCTGATGTTTAAACAAGAGTTTAAGAATTGCAGATAATCACCACTGCAGGACATGGGCTCTTCCCTGTAATTTGTCTGGCTTCCTGTCGAAGATTTCTGATGTAATGCAAGGTAAGAGAAAGAGATGCATTCCAGCTCTGACTAAGAAACACAAACACTTTGCTTAAATGTGGTTCCAGACTTCAATAAATTCAGTAATGTGAGTTCAAAAATAACACAATATTGGAACCAAACTTTATCCAATACACATACATGTTTCCTTTATTGCCAAGCCACTGACGAACACACATTCATTTACATGCCTAATTTAACAGCATGACTAATTGGAGCCCTGTGTGTGGCCAAAAGACAGAAACTACTTCAGAAAAACTGTACATGCCCCACAGCTTTCACGAGAGAAGCAAATTTCCAGGACTGCATGGATGCATGGGGACATCTTGTGGGCCATGAGGAAACCAACACAAAAAAACTAACCACGTTTTACTGCTATGACAATGACATCATAGACTTGTAGCAGGTGTTTTCTGAGCTCGAGTCACACACCGATCGACTGTTGAATCAGTGGTATTGTATTTCATTTTAAGTTTCACCATAATCAGACTTACTAACACCCCCTCAGTGTCTGAAAGCTGAACTCCCTGTGAACATTTCATACTTTCTGTGTCAAGCATCAGCATATTCACATGCTCTCCTCTCAGCACTACCGCATTTAAAATGGAGCTGTTTAGTGTTACTGAGTGTAAAGATTACTTGTTTGCACAAAGCTGAGAAAGCTGCAAGGATACAAACAGCAAAAAAAAACTAACTCAATAATAATTCAAACATAAAAATCTCATAGTAGCTTGGAAATTAGGGTTTTAAGGTAAGTTGAACAGCAAAATGTAAACTATTTTCATACATATTCAAATTTGAGACTATTGTGTTTTCTTAACCTGGATGTAAAGAGATATATCTTTGCTAAAAAGCTGTTTTTTGTTTGTTTTTTTAAATCAGATTTTTCCTTTTTTCCAAATTAGTTATTGAGGTGTTTTCTGTCTGTTTGGGTCTTTGAAAGTAAAACAATAATATAAAAACTCTGACACGTTAATAGGTTAAGTTGGCACAAATGTTTTGAGCTGCTATTTACGACCACAACTCACCTGTATCACCTGAAAAACCTGACCGACTTTTTCGGTGGCAGAGTAACGAAAGTGTCTCAAAATGCTTCAAATAAAATGCTTCAGATCCCAGCTTTAAAATAAAATAAAGTGCCCTACTTACATGTTTAGTACTCCCATCCTTGCGGTGTTTCTGCCTCTGTTCAAGAAACCTTTTGGTCCATTCTTCCCTGGGAGGAAGCATCAGGACCTCCGCTGACCGGTACCTGTCTGAAGGTATCTGGCTCATCGGAGGAGGCAGGTTATTTGTGCTGGCGCTACGGTTAGCATTGAAGGACCAGTTGGTGGACGCTTCTGGAGGTTCAGGATCACTGCTTTGGACTTTAGGCCACTTTGGCTTTGAGAACCACTTTTGGCTACCTCGGAGAGGATCTCCAAATAAGTTTTTTTTTCTACTCAAAGGCAGAGGAGATGGTGGGGGCTTAAACTGGAACTCTAGCCTGGGTGGGGGACCGCCATAAAACCTGGTTAAAGAATCTGGGCCAGGTAGTGACTCTGAAAGAGAATGTGTAGAGGCACTGTTTTCCAGATTAGGTTTTTGGCCATTCTTGGGGAGGTTTATTGGGGTGAGGTCAACAGGCAGAGGATAATCCCATGGACAGCTGGGGAGGTGGGCCCCAGCATGGTTTCGGATTGCAGAAGGGAAATCCCTGTCTGCTCTCTCCTCAAGCGGAGAAGCATTTCCAATCCCACTGTCGCCATTGCTGCTGGCACTACCTTGTTTGACGGTTCTGTCGCTCTCTTTGGCTTGCTGCTGAGTTTCTGTGTCTAGTTTAACTCTAAGCCTCTCCACAGCTTCTCCCATGTCACTGTACAGGACTGTTACAAAGTGCAGAACATCTAGTGGAGTTTGAGGGAATTCCAGGCAGCCTGCGGCATCTGGATCCGGAGAGCAAACAAAGCCAAAACGACCAGCAATTCCTACATGGTTCTCATGGTTTCCTAGCTCTGGGTCCATAAAAAATACATGACAGGAGGCTCGCAGTGGACCATTGTCTGGTACACGGCCATTGATAATATGTGCTGTGGTGACCAGGCAAAAAAAACGAGGGTCTTCAGCACACACAGCCCCTAAGACAAGGTTCTCAGCAGGAAATGCTGCCAAAACAGCTCCTACATCATCACAAAGTCGTATGCAATTAAACATGATCTTCATCATGACTAGAGTATGGGTATTCTGCTCCGTACCCAACTGTCGTATTGTCTCCCTAATGGCTTTGAAACAGTCATCCTCTGATTCAGTAGTGTTTAAAATCAGCTCTGTGGAGCTCAGGTAGCCCACAACCAAGGTCATGTTTAAAATCCCCCAGTCTGGATGAGCCTCTTCTGTGTCTGTAAAAACAGAGTCTGTGTCCCCCAAAGTGGAAGCTTCCTTCTTTGGCTGCTCAGCTAAAACACTCCACTGTTGTGACCACTGTGACAGATCAGGCTCCGACACGGGCCTCTGTTTGGTGATGGCAGTTTGAGCAGAGTTTAAGGAGGGTTTGCTTGAATCATGTGAGACAGTCCTGAGAACACCTGCATTTTGGAAAACACCACTTCTCCGCCCAAACCCACATTTTGCATCATAAAGGATGGGGTCTCCCGTCATTCGACCTACAGTATGCACCACCAAATGCAAAGGTCCGTTGCAGGTGCCGATCAACTGCACCACAGCCTCGTGTGAAGCAGTGGACACGTCAGTTCCATTGATGGCCATGATGCGATCTTCTTGTCTGAGTCCTACCAGATCAGCAGGGCTTCCTTCCAGGATGCCACTCAGCAGACACGGCCTCTGTCCTGCAATAGTGAAGCCATATCCAGTCCGTCCACGGATAACCTCCACACACCTGACCTCACCCGCTGCATTTAAATCCAGACGCCTCCTTGTGTCCTCAGGCTGTCCCGGTATCCTCATCTTTGTTGTTGGTTGCTGGGAGATCCAGTGTGTGTGAACTGAAACACTTGGAGATTGCCAACACTTTTGTGCTGTTGTCATCCTAAAGCTGAACAAAATTAGCAAAAGGAAAAAACAAATTTGTAAAATAGTTTCTTTGCAATATATCAAATTATTTTTTAAAAAGACTGGAACAATTATCACATAGGATCACAAAATAATTCCAAGACAGCCGATGAAATGTTAATTTGCTGCATTATTTTATGAATGCAACTCGGACTTAAGATTTCAGAAAGATATCTAATTGTGATTTTTGTGACACACATTGCAATTTGATTTGCAATACATTTTTTAAGTCAAGCTCCAATTCAATATTTACAGTGTAACTGTAATTTAAAATGTGTGATGGAGCAATACAGCACAAGGCACCATCAAAAGCATTCAGTCAAGGAGGACAGCATGAATGTGTAAACCCACTGACACAACAATTTAAACCTGGATCGGACCTACTGTAGATGCATGGCTGTTAAATAATGAGCCTGTGCTTATGTCAGTTGAACCACAGCGTGCATGCCTGAAAAATCAATCTGCTCTATAGCACTGCTGCAATTAATCAATCAGCTGTCAATCATAAAATAACCGCCAGCTATTTTAATAACTAATTAACGGTTTTAGTATTTTTTTTAAAAGAAAGTCTCTGATCACAGCTTCTTAAATGTGAACATGCTCTGGTTTCTTTGCTCCTCTGTGACAGCAAGCCAATTTTTTTCTGTAGACCAAACACAAATTTGAGGACATCATCGTAGATCTGGGGAAACACCTGTTGCCATATTGTATGTGTTTTTGACATATTATAGAACAAACAACTTGTGGAATAATCAAGAAAATATTCCATAGACTAATCAATCAATGATGAAAATATTCTTAAGTTTGAGCTACAATGTGCTTGAACTAAATAGAATTGAATTACAGCTTAGTCTGATCACTTAAAAGCCAAGACTTGTACATCCTAAATTGCAACCTTTTGGGATTTGCTGTTTCAAATCACAACAGTGAGGACAAAGATAGCTGTTTCAGTGGTGGGAAGTTACACAAAAACGCCCACAATTCAAACTTCCCGTTGATAAAAGTCCACATGTTTACATTTTTATATTGCATTTGATTATTTTTTTTTAATATACATACAAAAAAACATTTCCCTAACATGATTCAAGTCCATATGGCAATGCATAATAAGAGCCTCCTTCTATTTACCTAAATGAACATTTATTGTCACTGTCCAATAATCTGTTCAAATATGTTAAATCTGCATCATTTAGAAAAAATAAAGCCTAAAATCTTCACTAATTTTTAAGTCAAATCTGCTCTAAATCTAACACCATACTGATAACATTAACTAAGGATTTTATTCCTAAATACAATTTCTAAGATTAATTAGATAAAAGATGGTAAAATGCTATAAGTGGTGGGATGTTTTGGTAGCTCCATTTTACTAACTCAACAAAGTAATTTGATAATCAAGTAATGCTACTGACATTAATCGTATTTTGGCAATTATCTGTCAGAGGTCAGACATAGAACACAGCTTGCATATGACTCCCAGTCGCCACTCCCCTAAAGCAGAGTGCCAGCTGGCTGCCTGCTCACCGACACTTTAAACACAACCACGCTCTGTTTTCGGTCAACGACTGCACTTAAATGTTCCAATACTCAACTTCCCGCACATATTAAATCATTTTAACACAGGAAAGGCGTGACTAGTTGCTGCTTTATTTGCTTCCCACATATAAAACATTAAAGCGCCAACAAAAAAAACGTCTGAAACTATCACAACAACGAGGACAAAGATACCTGTTCAAGTTGTGGAAGGTTCCACAAAGGCGCCCGAAGTTTGACGTTCACGTCGATAAAAGTCCACACGTTTGCATTCTTTTTGTTTTTTAATATTACATGGTCATTTTTCTTTTTAATTATTCAAACCAGCATTTCCCTGCCGTGATTCGGTAGTCTATATGGCAACGCGTAAGAGGAGCGCCACCTCTTTCATTCACCCACCGCGGAAATCACAAAGCGTCTTTCATTGTAACCATGACAGCGTAACGTCCCCCGGAACATGTGACCTCTCGTCCTGACCAATCACAGCGCCTGTCAAATTCAATATTCAAACCACTGGAGCGACGCTATTGGCTGGTGCCGATGGCAGTTTGAGAGCCTTTATTTGTTTAAGTTTATGTTTGTTTTTTTTAAATTTAAAAGCGTCCGTCAATTTCAGAAACAGTTTCACGTGAAATATATGAATAGTGGCATTCAAACTACAGTGTAAGCACCGCTACACCGCATGTCACGAAGGAGCAAAATAAATTTAAAATACACAATGCATGCAATGGTAAGTAAGTTCCTAAAACAATTTAAAAATCGAAAGTTTATCTTACCATTTTGATTTCCCCATTACTGCAGTATCCCTCATTCCCCTTGCATGTGTGTCTCCCTCTGTGTCCTCCACACTGATGCAGCACTTAGCAGCGTTTAGTGTGTTCACGTTAACTCTGGTCAAAGGGCTGCAACGGTTGCACACATGGCTTTACTGCACATGTGCAGTACAGTTTACACACTTTTAAAAAAAGGAGGATTGTTGATCGTCTACCTTGGCAAACTACTGCAACTGTCATTTATTATTTCATGTGAGTGTGACCTCTAGTAACAGGTTGCACAATGTATTGTACAAAAAGCAGTGCTGCTTTTTTCGTGAGGGAGGGTTTTCCATTGAGCTGGTGTTGTATGTGATGGAAGTGACCTAATCTATCATTTCTCAAAGTCAACTTGAAATAGGTTAAAAGGCGAAGACTTTAATATTTTTAGCTGTATCACTTCTTACATTCTGTGTGTGTTGCATTCCACTAATTAGAATGGAATAGAATGTTTTTATTATCATCATACACAAAGTACAATGACATTAAAAGACAACTCCTGTGGTGCAAAAGTATAAAAGTAAAAGTATAAAAAGACAAATAAGAATATATACATATATTTACAAAAGGAGCCAGTGGGAAGTATGAACAGTTGGCCAAACAGTAGAATAAATATGTTGCACTGTTGAGGCAGGAACACTGTGGATATATGAGAAATATAAATAATATAAATAAAGAATCATTATAATATATATATAAGATATATACAAAATATATAATATGGAATAGTATAATCTGTAATAATCAAAACATCCATCCATTCATCCATTATCTATACACCGCTTAATTCTCACTAGGGCTGCGGGGGGCTGGAGTCCATCCCAGCTGACTTAAGGTGAAGGCAGGGGACACCCTGGACAGGTCACCAGTCTATCACAGGGCCACACTTAGAGACAGACAACCAAGCACACTCACATTCACACCTACAGACAATTTAGAATCACCAATTAACCTCAACATGATTTTGGACCGTGTGGGAGGAAGCCGGAGAACCCGGAGAGAACCCACGCTGCACGGGGAGAACATGCAAACGCGAACCGACGACCTTCTTGCTGCGAGGCAACAGTGCTACAATCAAAACATAATTAGAATATAATATATATAGCATAGGATAGTATAAATAATGAATATATGTGATAAATAGTACGGAATATAGACTAGTGTGGGTTCAGTACCTGTATTGCACTTGGGTAGAATGTGTTGGTGAGTATGGATGGGCGGGCCATTACTCTGCAGGATCACAGATGCTGCAAAAAGCAGGGAAAACTCTCATCTTTACATAATATTGAAATATCAGGAAAAGAACATGTGTGTTTTTCTACTTCATGGCTTGCATTTTTATATAATAATAAAACCATAATACTACCCAGGATTACGTATATGCATAATGTAAGTGTTTACCGTCACCCAGTTCTCCAAGTGTCTGTTTGGTCACAGTGAGATAAGGAGTGGAGACAGAAACAGGTTTAAGGAGTCAAAGTACAGGTTTAGCATGAGAAGTTAAACGACTGCACTCAACACCACTTCTCAGTCAACGACTCTGTCTCTGTTTGACAAAGGCTCAGGGAGATAACCCATTTCATGACAAAAGCCCCCCACTCCTTAAACGACCTCTCCCTGGGGAAAGACCTGCATAACTTTTACTGTTGCTTTGCAAGGCAATGAGACAGTCCTAGTCCTTTATGTGACTCCAGCCACCAGTTCCAGCCCCTCAACCATACCTCCCCCAATCTCAGCAGGGGCTAGGGCCCTGTCCACAACTGCCAACCCCAAAGTCCTGCTCCTCCCCCACCACAGAAATGACTCCCAGCAACCTGGAGAAATATGTCAACAGAACCCCAAAAGCAGCCACACCAGTCTCGCCATCCACCATGAAGCTGATCAGCTGCCTCCATGTTCACTAGGACATGCCACGTACCAGTCTGCTTCAAGATCTCCCCCATTTTCCTGTCCCCCCCAAAAAAACAAGGACCACTGGCCTGAATCACAACAGACCCTGGTCTCTGTGGAGATGAAACCATTTGAGTGCTTTAAAGACAGCACAGATGGTTGGAGGCTTCAGGAGGAGCCCATCTCCATTCACCCTCTCTACAACCCTCAATGCCTTACATTGATTCACAGCTTTGCACAGAGATTTATTTTTGTCATTTGCATATTTCAACTTGTTTATGTTACATACTATGTCCTCTTGTACATTCTCAGGCAAATAACTTGCACATTGTTACTTTTTCTCTTACTTTGCATTTGCTACACTTGCTTTTTATTTGTCTTGTAACATTTACCGTCTATTTCACCTGCAATACTTACTTTTTAAAAACATTTTATCCTTTAATTTTTTTTCTAATTCTTATAAATGTGAAACTGTCTTGATATGACTGAATTGACTGGCTCAGTGTTTTTATTCAGCGTCACTTGAGTATTTTTAAAAAAAAATCCGAATCCTGTTTTTACAAATCTGTCGCAGTCCCTGTCAGGGACATCTGTCTTTACCAGTCAGTTCTTTGTGGAGCTACATCAATATAACATTTTAAAATCAGGGTTAGCAGCCATTTTGGCACATCCTCTTGAGACAGAAGGTCAGCATGTTTTGTACTGATTGTGCTGCTATTTGAGAGCTGTAACAATTTCCTTTCCCTCGAATGCAGTTTGTGTTGCCATTTGCTGCTAGCTCCTTTCTAAATACTTCAGTAACACTTTGGATAATTGCTAAGTTTCCAGGTTTCAAATTGTTTTGACATCAGTCTTTCTCAATATGTAATTACCTTGACACAATAAAAAAAAAAAAAAAAGTAATAATGTGACAAGATTTTGCATGGTTGTTGTTCCCAAAGGTATTTTATTAGGGTACTTGGCAAATTATCAAGAAAGACCTGATCCGGTTATCCTTAAAATGAAAACTCACATTGGAGCCAGATGTGCCAACATATGTCATAACAGTTATTAACGTGGTCATCTACTAACGATGATCATCAAACACCTTCAGAAATGGCAAAAGAATATATATCTGTGCCTGTCCATACCATCTCTGTACTGATAACGGCAACACCTATAGCATGATGAACAATAAAAATGATTTACTGAAATCCAAAATAAAATACAATTTGTTCCTTCAGCAAGGCTATAGGTGCTGCAATATCACGATCGCTCCTAAATAACAGTAACTTCTATGCTTCATGATTTTCCTGGATCTTTCACCCCACTCTGACCCCACGATGCGGATGTGTTGGAAGGAGATTGGATCATCTTCTCCAGAAGGTTCATCATGCGCTCCTGCAGCTGCAGACACTGGACCTGGAGGAGGTTCTGCTGGTGCATGGCCCGACGGACCTCCCTGCACGTCTCCTCGATGGCCCGGCTCGACCTTTTCTGTTGCTGCAGCATGGCCTGCATAACTCTGAGTTTCTTTTTCTTCATGGACATGTGCTTGTTGGCATGTCTCTTCCTAGCTGACATGTGATGGGAGCTGGAGAACAGAGAGGGAATGTTAAAAGGAGGAAGAACTGATCACCTCTTGGCTCAAAAGCTTATTTCTTACAACCACAAGTCCTCAGCAGCAATTTAGCACGCAATTTGCATACATCTGGAACTCTCTCCCAAAGCCAGAAACCATCAACAAAGTAATAATACCATTTCAAAAAATACTGAAGTTACACTATTATGTAAGTGATTGTACCAGCCCACTTAAACTATAAGTGAAAATGTAGTTATGACTACAGTCTGGTCTGTTTTAAATCATTTTTGAGCCTGTGTCATATATCTGTAATTTTGAGAGTGAACTTAGCATTTAGCTAACAAAATTAAGCTAAATACCAAACAGCACAGCTATAGGAAGACAGTCAAATGCAGTTGTAGTTAGCAAGGTGAAGATAGCTATGGTTAGCCTTAGCTAAGCTTCCTTATTTTATTTTTTTTTCATTTTGTTTTGTGTAATTTAATTGCATCACAATTTTAACTAATGTCTTGCAAATAGGAGGAGGGGAAAAAAAACAAAAAAGGTAGTAACATGATACAAAGGTAATTAGCCTAGCTTAGCTAAATGACAGCAACTCCCATGTAATACATAATTTGTTGCGGTTAAGTTACTTTGAAGTTGCATTTTTATTCATGTGTCGCAATAGCTCAAGTGTTTAAGTAATATATTTAAAGATAAATGTTAATCTTAAAAAGGAACGCATATCAAGAACAAAATGCAAAAATCTCTTTTCACTTAATGTATGGCCTATCATGTAAATGTCATACATGTAGCTGATCAAAGATTTTTTTTTTTAAATATATTCAATAAACTTGGGAAAAGGTTCACAGAATTACTTTTTTTTAAACATATAATGTGTAAGATTTGTAGAGCCACAATTTTGGCCATGCTGAAACAACCTAAAGGTCAGTTTATCAAATAGTTTTTACCTTTAGCAGTGATTAAAAGACGCACACATGCACTCACAACCTTACAACATGCGTCTTGTTAGTTCCTGTTACCTGGAGCCCTGTGTGTGATCGCTGTCAGAGCTCAAAGAGTCCAGCTCTTGTTTAATCTCCATCTCATCTGAGGAGCCTGTGTACTCTGGCAGAAATCCTATCACTCCATCCTCTGACTGGGGCAGCAGGTTGTCTGTGGACTGGGAGGACGTAGAAGGACCCGCTGCAGAGGCCTGATACTCCAAAGAGTTCACCCTTCCGTTCTCCAGTGGCTTGGAGAGGATCTTCTCGATGGCCTTATAGTACGGCCAATCCGGAGTCTCACCACTTTCCCCTACTGCGGCTTTCAGTCGCCTGTTGGAGCAAATAAAAAAAAAAAGTTTATAGTCATGCAACAGCGAGAGTTTGAAATCATAACTTGGATGGACATTTGGACTTGCCTGTACTGAAAAGACATGTTGGTGATTTTCATCTTGATCTCCTCTTTGAACCGCTGCTCTCCAGTCAGCTGGAAAAACCTCTGGGACATCTTCTCGTAAACCTTAGCATTCCTCTTGCTCATTTTCAGTTCGTTGTGGTGTTCCTCCCACACATACAGGAGGGCTTTCATTTCGCCATCAGTCCAGTTCGGGGCCCGCCTGTGTTTCTCACTGTGGCCTGGCATTAGGTAGCTGAAACCATCCTCTGATCCCATTTTTTGAAATGTTTCTCTCGGCCTGTGCTGGCTGCTTTTTTCTTTTTTTTTTTGCAGAAATAGGATCTTTAGAGGCTGAATTTGAAAGCCTTTTTACTGTGCTGATAGACTGATAATAGCTGTGTTGTGTCAGCAGTGAGGGAGGGATACATGCAAGAAGGCACACACACCAGCGTCCTGCCTGTGCCCTTCCCCCTAGCCTAGCTGAAAGAGGACTCAAAATGGGGCCTAAGGCAGGAGAGGAATCCGGTTAAAAGCTTTTAGTACTGCGTGATGTCACCGTGACATCAAGTTGCCGTGGCAACGGTGAGGGAGGCCCTTCATTTTCCCTCCCCTCTCCTCTAACCACTCCCATCCGCTCTCTTTTTTCCCCTCTATTCTGCTCCACTGGAAGCACAAAAAGCTTTTAGTTGAAAGGCAGCAGTGTGAGCGCACACGATTGCTGACAGTTTTGAAATATGAGCCTCTAGAGAGGAGGAAAAAAAAGAGAGCCGGGACCACGGGTATGTGTTTCCCTGGCAACAAGGCAAGAGGTTTGGTAGTCAGCCAACATACTGCTCCATTTAAAAGCTTTTAATAATAGAGAAGTCATTTTGAGATGGGGAGAAGGAGGATTTGCTTTTTCTGGTATGATGCAGAAAATAAGCAGACGCTTCTAGTCTGCAGCTCGACCTAAAAAGCCAGCAGAAGCTCTGCAGTGAAAGATTGTGAAGCACTTTAGGAGGAAATAACAGGAGGAGACGTCAGACAAAATGGCAACATGTTGTGATCAACTGTAGGAAGCTGTACAAAAGAGCATGCTGTCTGCTGTAATCTGCCGTCTCTTCCTAGCCGTTTGTAGTAGACAATGGATCCCTGCAGGAAGGGTGACCAGTTGGAGACCCTCCCCCATTCAGGTCTCTGCAAGGGGCGGATCTTTGCTATACTCAAGCACCATAATCCACAATTTTATGCACAGTTTTTCCCCCCTGTCTGTTGCTCTCTTTCTTTCTTTGCTCTCATATTTCTCTCAAGAGCATTTATGCACTAAACCACACCTTCTTTTGCCCAAATGCACAGACAGTGAAACCCTAAATGACCCTGTCTCTGCAGCATTTTCACTCCTGCTTCTACTCTTTGTGTTTTGCCACCTGAAAATGGCAGAAACATCTAAGTCACCGGTTTTCACTTTATCTATATGAGGGTCACTGGCTGCTCCACAAGCTGTCCTAACTCAACTGTGGCCCGATTAGACCCTTAACCCATATGCTTCGCAGTAATCTGACAGGTGGCCGGTGCATTTTCATGTTGCAAATTGGCAGCTTTTGACAAATATTAATCTCTGTCACTGCAGAAATGAAAATAAAATAAAATGGAGGAGCAAACAAATGTTTATATGAAAGGTTTCTAAGTTGTGCAAAGAAATTTGATTGGTCTTTTTGGAGATCACTTGACTGATTATTTGTTATTGTTGCCACCATTGTTCGTGATCATCTCTTGCCTTGAAGGAACATTAAAGTTAAAATCAAATGCTTCTTCGATTTCAGTCACTTCACTGCCTGCAGGTCTTTCTCAAGTGAATCCTCTTTCTAGGGTCTTTCCTGTTTAGTTACTTCCATTCATCACAATGGAGGTAATTGAGATCACTAATCCAGGGGCCAGACTAATCTACAGATAAACTGCTCAAGCACTCCACATGTCTAGAGGCAGAAGTTGTGAGTGATCCAACAAAATTGAACCAAAATCTAATATGATAACACATACCTGGATCTGTTTTTGAAGAATGGTTTCTAGATTTCCAAATTCATCTTGTGGATACTTGTGGAAAAAGCAACAACAACAAAAAAAAAAATGTATTTAGACAATACATTTAAACAGATCTAACCAGTAAAGGTTTAAGATGTATTATCATCTTAACTAGTAAGAGCTTTGCACGGTCAATTAAACAACTTAAAATACCAGAACAATTAGACACTAATTCCACTCTCAGCTAAAATAAATGCAAAAGGGCTTCTCAGAATTTTTCTTCTTTGTTGGCGATAATAAAGTGTGAACAGTTGGTCGACAGAAAACAGGATATAACTGAATAATGTCACACAGACACAAAAGAAAATAAGTCTGATTTTTCACCATCATAGCTCCAGTGTGTTCTACGTCTTTGTATGTCAAACATGTATGGATCATAACATTGAAACTGACTGCCTCATATTGTGCAGCTCTGACCTGTTGGATCAGGAGCTCTGAAGGTCCTGAAGTTACCGAAACGTTGATGGGATGGTATCTCCACAGATCAGGATTGTTTTTGGCACACCCACACATGGAGGGAGTCTGGAGGCCAGGTCAACACGTTGAGTCTCTTTTGCTTGAACCATTCCTGAGAACATTTTGCAGCTGGGCAGGAAACATTTTCCTACTGGGGGAGGCCATAGTTGATGTGCAACAATATTTAGGTGAATAATACAAGTCAAAATAACATTGACATGCATTCTGGGGTCCATTGTTTACCATTGCATTATAATGAAAGGCTCAATGACAGTCACTTTACACTCATAAAGTATAACTTGTATTTTAAAATTTCAAAGAATCATTTCATTTCCCTTCATGTCCTTGGGAAAACTCCATCAAGGGTGAAATAAATCTTCTAGTCTTTCATTATGAGACTAAAATAACAATATGAACACAACCTAAATAAATTAGATAAATTGTGAGGCTACAGTTAGACTTTGGAAATGTTCCTCTTTTGGGTTGTAATGATCATGGGTTTTATGTGATCTTATTTTCAATTGTGAAAGAAGAACTAACACGCTGCTCTCACAAACGAAAAGCTGAAGATGTAAGCAAACAAATGTGCAAGGGGCTTCGCTGCCATGCAGTCTTAATTGCTTAAATAAGAGTTGCTGAGTTTTATCTACTTGTGCAACTGTTTTAGCATTTATTATCCAGTATTTATCACTTCGAGGAACGGGGATGTTTATCTGAAGTTCTTACTTGTATTTGTGGACTTAAACAAATGAGCACTTTATTAAATAAAAACCACAGCACCGTTTAGTTTTCTCTTTGAACCTTAGAAAAACATTTAATGCAAATTTGTGCACATAAAACAGATACATACGGTACAGTGCACACATAACGTATCATAAAGTATAAATGCTTTTAATGTTGGCTTACATTAGTATGTCAACAGTTGGATATCTCCTCTAGCATATCTCATAATAAACCGGTCCACAATGGACTGAATGACTGGACCGCTTTGACCAAAGCTGGATCCGTATCACGATAGTCTTTTGCACCTGCTCATGGGAAAAACTAAACATGACAAAAACAACTGATGTGTGATTAGGGAATTTGAGGCTGGTGTGTGTGTCCTACACAAAAAAATACAGTAAATACAAGCTTTTCCGTTCCCTTTCGATACTAAGTGGAAAGCGCTGTGCAGATCTGAGCTCAGGCAGGACGTCCAATCCTAGCTGTTTGGGAATTTACTCCTCCACCGTAGGTTTTCCTTTATCAGTCTTTAAGATTAACACAGATACAAGAAGACATAGAAAGCTATTAAATGCGGCCACGCTTCGAGGGCCAAACAATGAAGGAATGTCAGTTCATTACAAAATACTAAAAATGATTGTTTTAAAGAAAGGTGCTGGTAAATGGTATATAAAGTGTCAGGCGAACTCTAGCACACCAGAAGCTGATTTAAACTTCCACCTCATTTCTCATTCTGTCAAGCCTAACTAAAAAAAAACAATGCACGATATAAAATAAAATGTCGGAAAAATATAAAAAACATAAATAAATCGAACAAATATCATATATCATAATATACAAGATTTAAAAATCAAACCTAAGAAGGAATGTAGTTCTCAAAAGGTACCACTAGAGGTCAGGAAAGATCCATGCTCAGGTATCCAGTTACACACTTGAAAGATTTATCTGCCTGTGGATTAAAAAAACAAAACAAAAAAAACCTCTTCATTTCTTCAGTTTAACTTCCTTTCAGTTCCACATAGCAGCAGGAATGATAAACACTTTATCAATTCAGAAATAAATCATTTAGTTACATTCTTGATATGGTGTCTCACAGTATAAATGACAGATTTTTTTTTTTTTCTTTTAAACTTACAATGACTTGTATGTGCACAGTGTTCTCACTGAATAACATCTGCAACCCCAACACTGTTACTGCATCAAGAAAGAAAATGATTTCCCACATATCGAAACTGACTCATGCAGTCAGAGAAGAAATTCTGTTGAAACTATTTATGTAAAAGTTTCTTGTTTCTAAGCTGTTTTCCATCTCTGGTGCAAGTGTTACCTCAGTTCATGCCATCAGAATCAGAAAATAATTCCAGCTTGTTTGTAGACTGGTTTTCTCGGAGTTCAGTCTCTGGGTAGACACTCCTCCTCAGTGATGCCCTGAGCTTTCAGCTCCTCCAGAACATTGTCCAAGTGGCCCGGGTCGGGATACCCGTGGCCCGTAAGGTTGGAGCCAAACTCAGTCTTGTGGTGCACTTCGTTCCAGATCACTGTGTCGGACTCGCCGGTGGTGCTGGAGGTACCCACGGAGAAAATGAGTCTGCGATCCCACGCTACGAGGAGCAGCCTCAGAACCTGAAGAAGGGATTAAGATAAAAAAAGGATGTCACTGCATAATCATTACAGTACTTACACAATTAGCAAGAAGAAATATTTTATCATTTACCTTGCGCCCCTTCTCACTGTCTGGGAGGTAGCAGTGTCTGGGGAACCCTCGTGCAGTGAAGGGTTTGCCTGGATTTGGGTGCTCTGGGCCCTGAAGAATAGGAGCACAAGTTGTTATTTTATCCAAAAAAAAAAAAGGGGATATTACCGCTTCTTGTGTAATTTTGCTCAGTGCTGCTCTACCTGGATGCCAGGAGGGATGTTGTATATGATGCGGATGGTTTTGCAGTCGGGATGGCCGGGCAGTGAGTGGGGGATGACGTGGTACTCCATCTTGCCGGGCGGCTGGTTGCCTGTCTTGACCCCGTAGATGGTCTTGCAGGTGGGACACTGCAGGCTGCCGTCCTTGTTGCCGTTGTTGTACATAGCGACGAGGCACTGGAGGTGGTACTGGTGACCACACTGTGCCAAGCGGCCCACCGACTCAGCCCGGGAGATGCCGCCCACGCCGGGGCCCTTGTAGCCTGATGGTCCAGCCAGGGCCTCCATGCAGATGGTGCAGTCCTGACACAGGAAGACAAGATCAGACAGATAAATCACCTGTTTTTGTTCGTTTAGTGCTGACCAAGCAAAAAATGATTGAATTCTTGTAGTACTAGTGGTGTTGTAGTCACGCATGTAGGTTTTCTGATAACACAGTTTTTTCCCAAGAGTTTTTTGCCACATCTCAGTGCCTTTATTAGAAGATGAATTTTCCACCAGCTTTCAAATTTAATATGGATGTTAAGTAATATAAACCATCTCAGTGACGACCCAATTTGTCGATGAAGGCCATGAAATGTGTGAAATGTGTGATCAACTTTTCATTAAACCGCCATTTTCAAACTCAACTTGCTGGTTTTGTTGAATAGGTTTGTGTTCAGACTGAATCAACAAAACAGCAACTTGACAACATGTGGTTCTAGAAGGAAAATATTCAGCCAAATGTACAGAGACACAAACGTGATGATCTCAGACTGCTTTTTAAGAGATGTTGCAAAAAGTTCTTCAATGTTAAAAAAGAATTTTCACACACAAATTGCTTCCAGTACGAATCCATGCAAAGAAAAACTCACCTCTTCTGGAGGATTGCGGACTTTCTGAAGGTAGCGCTTCACCACTTCCTCGGGGGTCTTGCCTTAAAGACAGAAACACACAGTTTAGTAATCAGTTCATGAGCCGGACTACTGTATTGAATTCAGTATTTATCTTAAACCCACCTTTGCGGGCCTGCTTCTTTGTGGTCTTGCGACAGCAGTGGCCTAGTCCGGGAACAGGTTTGATGTCACTCTTGCTAACAGGTGGAGGATGAAGCACCAGCTTGGGAGGGCGGGTCAGGCAGACAGGAAGTCCTGCTGCGCTCATCAGGATGCCTGTAATGCCTGTAAGCAGCCAGCAGAGGGGGGGATTTGACACACTCACTAATTTGACACACTCATTGAGCATTTTATCCTGGAATTATATGAGGTGATCCACTGAAATACAGATTAAATATGACGATAAATGCCAATAGCTGTGTTAGGAAATGGGTGTAAAGTCCTTTTTTTGTTTGTTTTGTAGTTTATTTTTACAACAAACTTCAGATGCCTCGACATTTTATACATAATAATCTAGTTTAAGTATTTCTGGTTAATTTAAGTACAACGATCTTTATTTACCTGCCAGTGCAGGGTGTACAGGGCTCGATCCATTCAGGTTCTTCACTGGAACTGTTGGCACTCTGAAACACACACACAAAAAAACTTACATTAATCTACAACATGCTGACACACTGTAAGTCCACACGCCAAAGACCAGGTCACCCCGGCCTGGACAGAAGTTGTCGAGTCACCTGCGAACAGGCGGAATTACACACAGCTGTCTGCAGCATATGTTAGCTTCTACTTCGGTTCGTGTCATCAGGGTAAGGAGCTTTTGCCGGGTCATGTGCAGAATCAAACACGACAATCACGACTTGACATACTGTCCTATAATCGCCAGATACAGTTTTAGCTGCTATGAGGCTTAAGGTTGGGACGGTGTGGCATCACGAGGCACTTGGACGTTCAACTTAAAACCAGGAAACTCAGGTCCAATTATAACAGCTTTAAAAACATACAGCATGATCCATTTTAATTTGAGTGATTTAGTAAATTTGTTGTTTAACAGATTCTTTTATTTTCAACCACAGCTGTCTTGAAGATTTTTTTTCTCCTTAACAGATGAAAACAGCCAACTGTCAAGTGTAATTCATTCATGTAAATATTCTTTGTGCTCCTCGTATCCTTGTGTTCTTCTTCTATTGTATAATATTATTTGTTAATGACTAACTAGTAGTGGTATCACATATATCCCAAAGAGGGTGACTAAATATTGTTATATATAACATAATATTGTATATTAAATCCATTATTCATTAATATGTATATGTATGCAGGCCTATATACACACACACACATATTATCTAGATTGTTCTCTCCTGACCAGATCCCTGCTTGTGTTGTATCTGCTCTCAGATGTACGTCGCTTTGGATAAAAGCCAAATGAAATTGCAGAATTGTATACATATGTGGTGTAGTGTTGTAAAATATTTATATTGATAATATACATTTCTATAACAATCTATTAGTAAATGACACATTTATTGTGAAGATATTATGTATAAGGTATAATTATATACTGTATAACAGTGCAGCTAATTGATTATATATTGATGCATATTTTATATTAAATCCATAGGAACATGTAATATTATAATGAATCATAGAGTGATAAGGAGGTGGGAGGTAATATACTTCTACATTTTTTTCCTTGTTTTTTTTTGTATTTTGTTTGTAATTTAATTTTTGTTTGAAATCTATATTTCATTCATTCAGTCATACATACAGTGGATATACCTCGCCTCTCTAATCTATACTTGTGTTTTCCTCTTTTTCTTACTGTCACTTTGTTGCTATGACGTTGCAAATCTTGTGGGACTAATCAAAGTTGTTCTATTCTAAAACTTATTTTACAATCGCACCAGAACAGCGATAAAGCAGCTACAACCGTCTGTGTACTTACGGTCTGCCGGTTTTGATAACAGTCATTGTTCTTGCTGGACAAAACCCACAAATATTCCAACGAATGTCTTCCTACTTCCTTTCTTTTGTCTCGTATTGATCCTGAAGTTCAACCGATGGACGTCTCTGTCCCTGTGTGTCTCTCTTGCTCGGCTTGTGAGCTGCTGTCAGGTGTCTTCCCTCTTTTATAGGGCTAATCCACCTGTTCCCATCTGTTGACTAAACTCTGGTTGTAGGCCAGAGAGTCACCGTGGGAGAGATTACCTGTCAGGTCCTACGTCACGCTGCCATAAGGCCGCCGTACACGACACAACTGCTGCGATCAATCGGCACGTTGTTAAATATAACAGTAATTGTCCATTTAGATAAAGATCGGTTTGAATATTTTTGGAGAGAAAACGTCGAACTGTTCTGATTCTTTCCTTTACAATCCAGTAGAAACCTGAATGTATTTTTAAGATAAACCCATGTTTATCTCGAGAGAGTTGGTTTGTTTATGGAATAGTCCACCCTTTGGCCTTTATTGTACTTTCATTTTGCTCTAGAATGTGCTATGTTATTTTTATGTCTAATTTCATTTCATCTTTGCTACTGTTTTGTTGAATCCCAATCATTTCCAGGTTGGTTCTCTAGAATCGCTTACTCCATCAACGCTACACTAATAACTATTTATCTCTATTTTGTTCTTGATGTTAATATTGACACTATACACATCTGGCTTTTCCTGTGGATTTGTCTTCTGATGGATCTTTGTTTATAAAAGTTTCATGTATTTTAAAGCATCTACGTCTCCAAGCTTCAAGCAGATATCAAGACGACCAGTGTCTGTATGTCTTTTATGTGAGATAATGATCTTTTCCAGTTTAAAGGAAATGTGTTGGATCCATTTATTGAAACATTTCTGCTGTTAAACCCGCTCATCTTAAATTAATAAAGCACATTTGTTCAGTTTTTGCAGGAAAAAAGTCAAAACTGGACTGAAGGTCATCCTATTTCACGTTGTGGCAGTTTATTTTATCTTATCTTATCTTATCTTATCTTATCTTATCTTATCTTATCTTATCTTATCTTATCTAAGAATATACATTTGTAACTTTTCTATGATGCCAGTAACAGGTTACAAAAGAGTTTCTTATTGATCAACAACAACGCTTCCTCTTTAAATAAATGATGTAACAATGACATGGAAAACCTTACAGTTAAGAATCACTGTAAACGTTCAGTCCTTGTACTGGTCAATCTGATTACACTGTCCTGTGTCACTATTTTTGTTTGTTTACCAACAAACCAAGTGACCTAGTTGTGGTATTAACTCCCTCTGTGCACGTCCTCTACGTTACTTAAAGTCAAAAAACATCCTGGCGGGAGAAACGCAGGGAAAGGCTGGAACACTAGAGGAGGGGAGAAGTCACGTTTTTTGTGATCCCAGTTAAGCTGCTGGCATTAGAGCAACTTCCATCTGGACGACAGAAGCACACAAGCTGCTGCTGCGCTTACTGGAGATGCGAGCTCACGCCTTGAATGAATGCAAAAGTAAAACCTCTGATCGAGCACAAATAGTTTGGCGCAAGAAAATCGCGTGCGGCAGGTGTGTGGTCTCGTCACCGGGATGATCTGTGACGCTGGAGTCGCATCCACTTCACTTAAGAAAACCATCTGCTCCGTTTCACTGCAGGCAAACTCTCTCAGCAAGAAAAAAATGGGAACAACGGACTCACTGACACATCTGCAAAAGATTAGTCTTTTTAATACTTATTGTGTATCAACTAGGTAGCTGCTATGATGATATTTTTCTAATCATTCTGGCTGTTTTTCTCTCCATCAAGTGGATTTAACTCTTTTTTTTTGGCCTATTCTTATCATAAAGGCCCACTAGCAGGTGCAGATATAAAAAAATGTGATTCTTCTTAAATGTTCACTATAAACATGTCGATTATGAGGACATTTGAACGAATGAAAAAGGTAAATGAGGCTTGTTTTCATTAATTGCTTTGGAGTCTAGACTGTTGATAGAAGGGGGTGTAGGTTTAGTTACACATGCTTTTAATAACTACAGTGCTTAATAAATTTATTAGACCACCACCCAACGTTAGGTTTATGCCACAGCTGCACTAAATTAACAGCATTGGCAATTACCAAAATTATCTTTTGTCTCTGTTATGGTTAATACACCAGTATGTAGAAGCTCTTTAACCAAAATGATATTTTTAATGGTAAAATATAATTATTTTTGTTATCTGTGAGTTTTCAAATTTAATATTTTACATTAAAAAAACTGAAAAAATAGTAAAAATAGTAAAGCACATTATTATTTCTTGATTAAGATGTCAAATTATAGTCATTTCCTTGCATCCCTGAACAGAAAAAATTACTTTTAGTGGTTGAATGTTATTCATTTCTGACTTCTGAGAGGAGCCCAGGGAGCCGGCTGAGATTTAAAAAGGTGAATTCAGTTTGAAATTGCTTGTTGTTGTTCAGAATGAGGGCTGCAGTTGGTTAGCGCCGTCGCCTCGCAGCTAGAAAGTCGTGTCTTTTTGTGTGGAGTTTGCATGTGCGTGGGTTCTCCGGCTTCCTCCCACACAGTCCAAAAACATGTTGAGGTTAATTGGTGATTCTAAATTGTCCGTATGTGTGAATGTGAGTGTGCTTGGTTGTCTGTCTCTAAGTGTGGCCCTGTGATAGACTGGTGACCTGTCCTGCCTTCACCCTGAGTCAGCTGGGATAGGCTCCAGCCCCTCCGTGATCCTAGTGAGGATTAAGCGGTGTATAGATAATGGATGGATGGATGGATGGATGTTCAAAATGGTAAAACTTAGTATAGTAGTAGTATGCCTGAGTAAGATTTAGTATTTCCCAATACATAGTTTATCAAATGTTCAAATGTAGCATGCCAAAAAATACCCAGATACTACATATGGTCAGACTGTGTAGTATGTAAACCAGCATTCTTTCTCATCCACAATCCTACAGATAGTTACATTGTCGTGTCTCGCATGACCATAATTAAGCTTTACATATTATAAAGAAGTAGGATGTTCCAATTATACGTATACATACTGCATCAAACACTATGTGCTTTGTGAAGGCGGCTGCGGTACTTAACGTAAAGAAAAAATAAAGTATGCAATTTAGAACGCAGCCCAGTTGTTTGCCAACTCATATGAAAGTTCGCAGAAGAAAAAGAAACAAACTAAATCTCAGTGATTTACAAGAGGAAGATGTAGAAAAGTCTTCAGGAATTGCTTTTAATTGGAAAAGTTGTAATTATCGCACCATGTTTCACGCTGTGTAGAAGCAATGAAAATAGAAGAAGTAGAAACTTGGTGCTGATATTTGTTTTTTAAGCCTTTATTAACTGTTGCTGCTGATGATGTCATCCCTATTATTGACTACAATCATAATATACTATCATTTTTTTTTTTAGAATAATTTACAGCCCAATGACAAACACATTTAAAATCAATATTTGTTAAAAAGCCAATATTGGTAATATTTGACTATCGACATCTACATTATTTTTCCTTCCTTCTGTTTATTGATAATGACATACATCTAGTATTCTAGCTTTTAAAGTTATGTATCTATACATATACTACATGTGTTTTTGTGCTTCCTTTTGCTGCTTCAAGACTTTTCTGCATGTTCTGATCTTAAATAAACGGTACTATTATAAACTCAG